TTTCCCTAACAGGTCCCTTTTTGTGAGAGTACAATCCTGCCCCCATCACCATCACCCTGAGCATCCATCACCTAGCTTTTAAAGTGCTATTACTGCTGTACTGCCCTGACACCCACACCACCCTCACAGCAAATTTGACTGGACTGGGTCCTAAGCAACCTGATCTAGCTTTGACGTTAGCCCTCCTATGAGCAGAAGGTTGAATGAGATCATCCCAGGTCCCTTCCAGTTGAAATTATTCTACATTTCTATGTCAGTGACCCTGTTGAATACACACTGAGGTTCAATTGGTTTTATTTTAAGAGCCAGCAATGACCAAAGCAAGTATCTGTTCCACAGGAGGTGTAGAAATACATTCAACATAGTTACAGCACATAGCTTTTGGTACAGGAAAAGAAAGAACATCAGTCTTGCTCTTGTAGCCTTTGTGTATGAGTGAGGGCAACTAAAAGGCCCTAGACTTCATTTACATGTCTGATTGTAAACTGTCAGAGATGTATGACCTGCACTGTATATTCTATTACCAGATCACTACCAAATGAACTAATAAAGCTATGGCTTAAATAACCCCTATCACTTGCCTGTTGTTTTTCTTCCTGTGTGACCAAGCCAACCATACACCTTCCATTGCAGATTAGAAAGCAGCCCAAAATTTCACTCAGTTTCAATGTCTGGCTGCTGAGCCTTCACATCAACCACAAGCAGGGATTTTTGTAATTCTACAACATTCTGAAGAAGAAGAAAAAATCAACACAAAAAGAAAAAAAAAAATCTTCTATCACAACATACACCAAAATCCTCATTGCCTGATGTGAAAGTAAACTTTCCAACCATCCTATTGAAGCAGTGGTTTCCCCAGGCTGCCATTCAGTACAGACATATTGCCCTGCCCCTCCCTCCCAACAGAAAGCAGAAAACATAAGACGACACAAAAATCTCCAAATGCTGCTGAAGTATATTTACCCACAAGCCTCACTTAATCATGCTTCCATCTCCATCCCTAATATGTTTAGATTAATGTGTCAGTAGTCACACTAAAGTTGTCTGGCTGAAACCTGAACCAAATCTACATGACCTACAGCAGAGCTATACAGAGCAGGGCACACACTACATGGCATGACTGAGTTATCCTAGAACAGTTTAAGAAAAGCTTCATACAACTCTGTCTAATCATATAGAAAGCAGTCCAACTTAAAATTTCCAGGACACAGACTTCCCAAAGTAAACAAACCATTAGAATGCTTGTATATAGATTTCATATCTGTATTCCCAAGTTGCTGGGGGGAGAGTGGCCATGTATTTATTTATTTTAATGCCTTTAATATCCAAGTATTTGGGTCATTTTTACCACCTGGGAACTAAATTAGCATGATAAAACAAACATGAAATTTGGGGTTTTCCCACACACACATACTCCCAGCATGCAATCTTCCTCCCTTTAAGCTCTGCCTCCTGCTCCTTATTTTGCCAGCAAGCAGGGGAGAATATTGTGATCCCCGGCCTCTCCCATTATTTCTTCACTTCCTCTCCAACTCTCCCCAGAGGAGTACAGGCAAGCCTCACACTGCTGGCTCACATTCCCCCTCCATTCCTCTCCCCCTGCTACTGGCACATTTGTATACCTCTGCAGCACCTACATGATACTACCCTGCATCTGCAAAGCTCTCTTATCATCCTGTCATCCACGCAGAAAGAGGCTGTTCCCTTATTAGCAGCCATTGACAATTTTAATATCTGACTGCTGAAATACCGGAAACGGAATCAGGAGTGAGGCCTAGAAGAATGTGCACAATTCAGAGGGAGAATCCCTGTATAGATGAACAAGTTATTAAAATTCACTAAAATGAGTGAAGGACAAAAAGAAAGGTTCATTATTTTAAGTCTGTATCAAAACTACCACTTGTTTCAAATGAGACTACAAGAGTAATAAAACAAAATCTTGTAAAAATCTGTCAAATCGTACAACTCAAAAGAGATCTCTCCATTTGACATTTCCACCATTCCTTTGTACAGAACCGATTTCTGGAAAGATTATTTACAATCAGATTTTCATTCACAGCTCTACAGCCAAAATTTAGGAGGATCACAAAATTTTAAGCAGATGACCTAAATTGACAGGACTATTCAAGTTGATGGTAAACACTCCAGTATCTCCTAAACTACAGGGTAAAAGCTTGCCTAACCTGAGCGTTTAAAAGGACAACCAAACTTATATACACTAGGCTTTATAACTTCCTTTTCATATATGGATGCCAATATTTAAAAAAGAAAAAAAAAAGAAAAAGAACGAACGTTATAGTTCTGACAGACTTGGAACAAACGAAAAACAAAGACCAGACCACATGGTAGTTATTCCCAGATTTCCAGTGTTCTGGGATTCACATGGTGTATTTTAAGATGTCTTTGCTTTAGTCTTTTTGGTATTTCACACAGCATCTTAGAACTGTTTAATGAGGTTCTAAATTTAATTCCCTTCTACTCTTTTTGATTTTGATACACCACTCTTCATGAATGTTTCTATGTTCTAACGACACACAAGAGCTCTCCTTGAATTTTCCTGACCATGCTGCTAGGTGGTTCTACAATTCCTAGCAGAAGCAATGACAGTGCCACACAAGAATACACAGTAGTGCAATACTCAGCTGTTGCATAATCTTTGCTCCCACTCAGCCCAGCACAGTCCTTGCCTTCAGGCCCACAGAGGCAGGCTGCTTGGATTTGTGGATTGTAAAGGGAAGCGGGTGAATCTAACAACACTGCAGTAGAACGCAGGACAGCTAGAACAATCCATCCATTAGGTCAGTAACATACCGTTACTCCAGATATAATCGGGGCTTTTCCTTCAATTAGTTTATACATTTCTTGAATTGCTTCCTCATCACTCTTGTCTTTAAATCGCTTCTTGGAGAGTTCTTGAAGAGCTTCCTTAAACTGCTCAAAAGTGATAGTTCTGGAAGACTTTCCCCTGTCGAAACAAACAGAAATTGAAAGAAACTACAAGAGAGCACAACAAGCATTCCAAGAATAACAGAATGGTTTCAGTTTACCACAGTGAACAACAGAAAACTGCAACAGAACAGGAAGACCCATGCAGCCCATTTATGGTGTCAAATAAAATACATCCCAGGAACATAACTTTGTTTTTTTTTTTTATGTACATCAGTAGGATAGTGCTTTAGAAACTTCCCTCGATGAACGTTCAGAAAGAAAGAGGAAATAAAGGGACCTGGCCTGCTGTCAGAATGCCTGCAGCTCATCAGATCAAATATAGCCTCATTTGGTTTAAGACTTGTAAAGCCTGCATACATAAAAGACAAGAACTGAAGCATCTTAGGTGAGTTTTGTTATTTAATATTTTTTATTCCTCTTTGAATAACTGGTTATGACATATTATTCATAGGTCACTACTCATGTATTCACAAGTAAATTAAGAATAATGCTGTTGTGTAAAGCAAACTATTGAAAAGCATTTAAAAACTTTAAATTCCTCCTCTGTTAAAGACTGACAAATTTTAAAGTGATGCATTTAAATTCAATACCCGTTTTCCTTCTTAGACCATCACCTTCATAAAACATTCACAGGTTCATGGAAAACATAATATAGCAGTCTGATAAACTCATAAATGCCCCCCAGAAATTCAGAGCTGAAGACTTGCTGTTGTTTTTACTAATAGGAAGCCCATATTTCCACACTAGTAAATTACTTGCTTAGGTTTACTTTTAGTGGAAAAGATTTTGCTACAGCAGCGCACAGTGCAAAATCTGACAAGTAGAGTGGGAAATTCATACTTTAAAAACATCTATTTATACAGTCACTCCTGCAGATCTTTTACACCCATCAGGCCAAAGGGTTCGATTGATAAAACTCTTACAAAGAAACTCAGCATTCACTACAGAGATGTGTCTAACCAAAAGGGGATTAATGCAAGTCAGTTTTCTAGCATTTTAAAATATTCAGTTTAGGCAGGAGATAATGTAGTGGAGTACACAGTGTTCCTTTCTTTTCCCTAATACGAAACTATTTTTAGTGTTCCTCATTTTAAAATTCAGGTATGAGGCCACAGTATTAATGAGATTACTCACTATTAAAAAAAAAAATAAATTTCTTTTCTATGAATTTTATCACACACAAACCACACCTTTTCCTGTATTACAGATTCCCTGATCTTTAGAACAAGAATTTATACACCAAAATTTAGCCATACGTTTTAAGCTAAAATTTAACAGTTCAAATAGAAAATTTTTCAAAAAGATGTTCTGATACTTACACTGATGTAACCTTAAATAGTACCATCTTTAATAGCAGAAGATGTTTTCAATTGCTTACAACATTATGACACCCTCAAAGTCAAAGAAATATTTGACAGTCCATGTTGCTGGGAAACGTGCTACTACACGAGTTTTGTTTGCTGCTGAAGCATTTCTTTTTATGCCAATTTAGAGAGCATTTCAAGCAAATCAGAAAAAAAAAAACAAACCACCACACAACCCAGACCAACTTTCAACAGTGACAGCTGTTTATACATGAATAAATGATAGATGCAAGGATAGAGAAAGTGTGCACTGGCAACAGAAATCTCAGGCTAGAAAAACTATGCATAAAATCTTATTTTAATTCAAGCATCACAAAGAGCCACTGCGAAGAGCAATTCATCTATCACCGATTCATCTTTGATCTTCTCTCAGACACCTTTCAGAGGTTAAATCCCCCTCAGTTGGAGGATGCCTCCACTAATGAAACGGGGAAGCGAGATTTCCCAGTTTTAGACACCAACAGTTAGGAAGTGACTCCTACTTCAATTAATTAAACACAAAATAAATTTTTTTCCCAGGCTTTTAAAGCAAGGAGAAATTGGTTATTCACAATAAAATCCAATGGTAACGCAACCCTTCACATACTGTTCATTAGTAGTATCCTTTATTTCCAACACAACCCACCATGTAGTAAATCCCTACATCCCTCACACTCCCTATTTTAGCCAGAAATAAACTTTATCTGTTTTTTCACCAAACTTTCTGTTTGCAACTACTCATCTGCTTTAGGTGAAGCGTATGCTAGAGTATCTCATGGAATTAGCTAGTAAAAGAACATCATGACAGAAATGAAGAATACAATCCAGTATTTCATTAAATCAGAAAGACACATGGAATAAACAACAATTAACTACTTGGAATTTGTCCAGGATCCTCATTAATAGGATTAACATCCCTCTTCTGATGAAACATGTCCAAGAACTTTTAACTAGCTCAAGAGGTCAGGACTTCATTTTGGTTTGCCTCTCATTTAGAAAAAGACAGCACTGGCAATCACTGCTAAGCTTCAGCGTAACGCCACACTAAGGCCCTTGTTCACTATAGGCTCACAGCCAAGTCTAACATACAGACCTTTCAAATGCAATTTTCTGTAGCACACAGATTACCTGGAAGTCTCCAGTCAGGATTGCTACAGTTTAGCTTGGATCATCAGTCAGGATCATCACAATGGGAAAGGGAATGACCACTTTCAGCAAAAACTGTTGAAGCTCATGTTGAGTCCTTTTATTTTTATTAACACATGTAGAATTTTTGGTTCCACACTTATCAAATAGAAGAGCACGATTTTTTTTTTTCTGTATTAAAAGGAAAAATACATAAATAAGGGTGCCAAGAGGAACAAAGAACATCTCCTTCTCCTACCGCTCACATTTGGTCTTTTCCCTGTCACACTAACATGGGGAAAGGAAACGAGGGGTTTTTTTCCCCTCCAACCTAAGGTGTAACCACAAATTGGATACATATATGAGCAAGGTAGTATTGCTGCTGGACTTAAAAGAAAAAGAAATGTGCATCATGGCAGATCTTCTTTACCAGAAAACTACATTAATTGGAGTGACACTAAAAATAGGATTGGGAATAAAGGAATTTTTGAAACTATATCCCAAGTAAAAGTTTCCTAAATAAAGCAGCTTTGATTTTGAAATTCATTATCTTTTTCTATACTCCAAAAACATCCTCTCTCCTCCTCCTATCTATTACAATATTATCAAACCCATTTGAAAAGCATCATAATTAACTCAAAAATTCTACAGTTGCAACATACGCCAAGTCTTGTGGAAAACCCTATAGAACATAATTCTTGATTAATTCACAACGTGTTCTGGCACTTTTGGTATGCCATGTATGGTACATGTATGCCATGTACCATAGCATCTAAATCACCAAGTAGCAATGCTACACCACCTCCTGTCTCTAGAGGCAGGTCTCAAAGAGCTCTGAGCAGCTGCTGTCATCATTCTTACTCAGCCGGACAGCATGCTCCTACCCTCTCTTCTATCTGTACAGTCATGGGTTGAATGCAGAGCAGAAAACAGTCTGAGTAGGTAGAAATAACAGAGGCAAAGTCTGTCAACGAATCTACATAGCTCTTGATTTACACACTCTTAAGCCACAGGATCAGCCCCCTCCAGGTCCACAAAAAGACCCTGCAGAGAGGGACTTGGAGATATTGGTGGACGAAAAATTGGACATGAGCCAGCAATGTGTGATCACAGCCCAGAAAGCCACCTGTATCCTGGGCTGCATAAACAGAAGTGTGGCCAGCAGGTTGAGGGAGGTAATTCTGCCCCTTTGCTCTGGTGAGACCAGTACCGCATCCAGCTCTGGAGCCCTCAGCATAAGAAAGACATGGACCTGTTGGAGTGGGTCCAGAGGAGGGCCACAAAAATTATCAGAGGGATAGAACACCTCTCCTGCGAGGAAAGGCTGAGAGAGTTGGGCTTGTTCAGCCTAGAGAAGAGAAGGCTTCGAGAAGACCTTATTGCAGCCTTTCAGTACTTAAAGGGGGCTTATAAGAAAGATGGTGGCAAACTTTTTATCAGGGCCTGTTGCAACAGGACAAGGGGGAATGGTTTTAAACTAAAAGAGGGTAGATTCAGACTAGATATAAGGAAGAAATTTTTTCATAATGAGGGTGGTGACACACAGGAACAGGTTGCCCAGAGAGGTGGTGAATGCCCCATCCCTGGAAACATTCAAGGTCAGGCTGGACGGGGCTCTGAGCAACCTGATCTAGTTGAAGATGTCCCTGCTCATTGCAGGGGGCGCGGGGTTAGACTAGATGACCTCTGAAGGTCACTTCCAACCCCCAACTATTTTATAATTCTATGAAAAATGATAATACTATGAACACTACATGACACACAAAGCAGTCGTACCCTCAGTTTATTTCCACCATTTTTAATGCCCTGTTCACATTCAGGAGGCCCCTCTACAACACCAGCTTTTCAGAGGTCATGAAGTTAAACTAAAAAAAAAACCAAAACACAAACCAACTAAAAAAACCCAAACAAACCAGTTTCTTCTATTAAGCAATTGCTACAAAGAATCAGCTTCTTTGTGTATATTTATAACTTGTTTTTAGAAGCTTATTATAAATATCTCATTTTCATGGGAATAACAAAACAAATATGTTAACTTTCATCTTCCCAGTGTTACAAGTTCAAGCAACTTGTCTACAATTAAGTATGCCAAGGGTGATCTCTAAGTTATTAACACCCTTCTCTTAGGTTTAGCACTCCAGAGAGTTAATAGAGACCTAGAAAGAAGATAAAATACTGTACATTAAAAAAAGAAAAGGGGGGGAAATAAAATAAAAAATAAATAAAAAAAGATGATGAATGAAATAGAAGGAATGTGTGAACAGCTACAGAAACACAACACAATCAGACACTGGAAACGCAAATTAAAACTACCTGACCAGAAAATGAGACAAAATGGAAAATAGTAACAATAGAGGGAAAGGGGGCGGGGGGGGAAGGCTTTTATGAAAACAGACATCATAAGGTTGGCCACCTCAATGAAAAGAACAAGATATATATGAGGGACATTAATAATATAAATTTTTAAAGCCCTGTAGTGTATTATGACACAAAGAAACCTTTATATTTAGGAAGGATACACTCTTACATGCCATTCTATTTTAAGCTC